GGCTCCGACCCACCGGCAGGTCTCTGCTCGGATTTGTTTCCCACCTGAGCCATTCTCTTCCTCTTGAGGCCTTTGGGTTTGGGTGGACTTGAATGCTTGCTTCTCTGTCATGAAAACCCCTCCTCAAAGACAACAATCCCCTCCAGTCTCACAAGCTTCTTGGCTATCTAGGTGTCCAGAGACTGCCCCACCCTCGCTCTGCCCTTCTGCTGCACTGGGGTCTGTCACTGAATTCGGATACTTACAGCTCTTGCTGAGGTATGTTTTAGCGCTGGGAAACCTGTACTTTGTATCTCTTATTTTTTTTAAAGATCTTTAATTTTTTAAATTTTTTTACTTTTTAAAGATATTATTTATTTGAGAGGGAGTGGGAGTGATCGAATATGAATGGGGGGTGGGCAGAGGGAGAAGCAGATTTCCCGCTGAGCAGGGAGCCTGATGCGGGGCTCGATCCCAGGACCTGAAGATCATGACTTGAGCCGAATGCAGACGCTTAACTGCCTGAGCCACCCAGGTGCCCCCAAAGATCTTATTTTTAAGTAATCTCTACACCCATGGTGGGGCTTGAGCTCACAACCCCGAGATCAAGAGTCACACACACTGCCAATAGACCCAGCCAGGTGCCCCATATCTTTTTTTTTTTTAAGATTTTATTTAGGGGCACCTGGGTGGCTTCAGTCGTTAAGCATCTGCCTTCGGCTCGGGTCATGATCCCAGAGTCCTGGGATCGAGCCCCACATCAGGCTCCCTGCTCAGCAGGAGGCCTGCTTCTCCCTCTCCCACTCCCCATGCTTGTGTTCCCTCTCTCACTGTGTCTCTCTCTGTCAAATAAATAAATAAAAATCTTAAAAAAAAAAAAAGATTTTATTTGTCAGAGAGAGAATACAAGCAGGGGAAGGGGCAGTGGGAGAGGGAGAAGTAGGCTCCCCGCTGAGCAGGGAGCCCGATGTGGGACTCAATCCCAGGACCCTGAGATCATGACCTGAGCCAAAGGCAGATGCTTAACCAACTGAGCCACCCAGGTGTCCCAAACCCGTATCTTTTTT